GCATTCTTACTTTATAGCATTTTTTCACACCTGCCTAAAACTTTTGCACAGTACTGTACATCACTATAATCTTAGTTTAGCTATCTGTTTACATTTAGTAAATGGCAAGCCAGCTAGATCTTACTATATATAAATAATGTTTTTCCAATTTCGGGCAATACTATGCAGTATGAAGAAATGTCTGTCTTTTCTCTAATAAGCATGTGACCAATGAATAAATGGAGGGATTTAAAAGAAAATTCTCACAAGTTCTAATCTTCCTCAAAACTTGCTAATTTCAACAAACAATGGACATTTTACAGTAGAATAACTGAAAAAAATAACAATCAGGAGCTGAAAAATGATCATATTCAGAGAATACAGTTCCATCTTTAACAGATACTGGAATCTCTCTGCTGCTAAAATTAGAATTAATTGGGATTAATTAATTAATTAAATCTACTTCTGAAAGTACCTTATTGCAAGTTGCCATATAAAATGAACATTTATGGTTGCACGTATGCATCTGTCTTAGAAGTAAAGATAAAAGCAATATTATATTAAAAGCATATGGTATAATCCAATTTATCTTTATATCCTTCCAGACTGATCTGCTTTGTAGAGTAAGGAAGATGACTTTGATGGAGACATGGAAGCTCTGCTGCTAAAGCAACAAAGGTAAAACCTTTTTAAAGTCCAGAACGTCCACATAATGTTCAGCAGCGGCTCATACTTCCCTAATTCACTGATTATAAGGAGGAGGAGGAGATACAACACAATCAGGCTTGTAAGACTGATGTCAGCCCCACTAGGTAGACCAGACCAAAAAATCAACTCCACAGGAAGGCTAAAACTACTCTTATTGAGAGTAATCCTTATAAGGTCATCTTCCTTACTCTCTACACCTCTTACTTGCTTATGACTGAATGCTTTTCCCTATCAGCAGCCATTTCATTAGCATATGTGGAATGACGTGAATGGATAATAGCGTGCAATTAAGTCCACAAGTTGACAACAAAACTTACGTGTTATTGATTATCTGAAAGCGTTCACCCTTCTTGAATGAAAGGTCATCTGTAGTTCTTGCTTCATAATCATACAAGGCCACAAAAACAGTAACACCCCCTTAGGAAAACCCAAAATATGGCATTAATACTTTTTCCTAGACAAGGCAAATACATGCAAACCAGATTACACATGTAGTACACAAAAGCATTTCACCAATTTTATGCTGAAGAAGATAAATATTCTTACTAAAAAATTAGGAATATTTCCAGTTTTAAAATAAAAACATTGTCTGAACTCATTCATTGATTTCATAGTAGCTTAGGGCTGCAATGGCAGTTGAGGCAATCTATATATTTGATTAAATAAGTTAAATATATTACTAAGAAAAACTTATTTGACATTTTCATTGTTAAAAGAACCCCAAGCCACAAAAGTTGTTTTTCACATTAAAGTTATGAGACCAGCTCTCTTTGTATGTTTGTAGAAAACACGAATAGGAAATTGGGATGAGTTCACATTCTTATCCTATTCACTCCCAACTGCTATATATTGACCAGAAAGATCTACAGCAGTGTTTTTAAAACTTGGTAACTTTAAGATGTGTGGACTCCAACTCCCAGAATTCTGCAACCAGCATCCTGGGAGCTGAAGTCCATACATCTTAAAGTTGCCAAGTTTGAAAAACACTGGTCTAAAGTGAAGATATATCAGTTATTAAACATAGTTACAATCTTCAACGGGGCTGAGAATCCTAATTCTACTGCGCTTCAAGGCCCATGAATAAAGTTGCTGCAGTACATCAAATTCTGCCAATCTACCTTGTTAAGGTTAGGAATGGAAGACCAAAGCCAGTATGAAATCCATGGTTCCCATTTTATCTCCATGTGCACTTTTTCAATACTTTTTTTCAAAAATATTGATGTTTGTATACTGTATTCTTTTGTCAAAGTTAGCCCAAAGTTATATGTTGGCAGACTATTTTATGTCTAAAAATTCAATAAATCTCTATTAAAAATCAGCAGTTTCCAGCTTTATGATTAGCATTTATATTCAAATACTCAAATGCCTTTCAAGCATTTGGGAGAAAATAGCAACAAAACTGCAGGAATGTAGTGATCTACTTTGATATATTTTGCAATGCTAATTCTGTTTTTTGCCAATAGAAGCTCTGAACATAAACTGCCAATTGGAGAATGATGAACTAGCCTGAAGCATTTGGAATGGATGAAGGGGTCGGCAGCATTCCTTCTACTAACAAAACTTCCATTAATAAGTATTTCTGTTGCAGCTGCTATCCACCATTCAAGTCAGCACATACAAAGGCTTGCATAACAATATAAATAGGGGTATTAACCTAACACAGAGATGCCGTGATATGGGTTTGATTCTAGACCCAAAACAGAATATTTTTTCCCACCTGAAGTCCCCACTGGATTTAACCAGTCCATTGATTACTAACAATTACCCTGTTAATAAATCTGTCAACTGAACTGACATACTTTCATGAAGAAAATACTGTAAATTGTTAGAAACTATATAATTGCAAACTGTCAGAAACTGTATACTTTCAACTGTTTTATTTGCACACAATAAATAATTCCAGAATTATGTGCTTCAATTAACATGCTGATATATTACTATACTATGTATAAATGAACTTAAGCTCATGAATTAGTTCCTCACACACATTTTATACTAATAATTCTGTTAGCATTTTTCAAATTAAAGGAAGTCTAGAAATGTATAAATTAACTAATTTATAAACTTGGATTTTAATAACTTATAAAATATACCTAACATTTGTATTATATGAACTCAGTAACTTCATTGTCCAAAGAAAACAAAGTAACGCTTCCAGGGTAGGAATGGTGGACTGAAGATGTCTCCGCGAAAGCAGAGCCTACAACCATGCATAGACTGGTTCCCTGGAACCTCTCCAGATAAGGAGAGAACAGGAGATTGCCCACATGTGCTCTGAACAGCTGCTCCTCAGTTTGCTAACTTCACTTTCTAATCAGTTCAGAATTGCTTATTAACTACTTTTAAGCAATTAGAGACCTTTGGAATGACATTTGAAAATGCTGGGTGAGTTTGCCTTCAGTCCTGAATGAAAGAAAATTTTAATCATAAGCTTAAGAATTATAAACAAACAGCAAAAATAAGATTTTGATCTTAGAAGGTTATAAACAGACTAAGGGTCCAGATAAATTTGGAATATATTGTAAATCTTTTACAGTAAGATTTTGGAATTAATTATAAAGAACAAACAGCTTCTCATGGGAAATAGATCTGTTTTGATTTTTGCAAGAGATAACAAAGATAAGTAATTTTATGATTGTAAAAATTGGACACTAGAGGAGACTAAAGATTCTAGGCAGAAATGTAGTTCTCTCTTTACAGCTTCAGGTTTTCTTTTTAGCATGGGAACATCAGCAACTAGATGTCCTGAAGTCTTTAGTTTGGCATATCTTAGACACCATTAGTACTCTGAAAGATTCTCAGTTTTTCCTCAGTAGCATGTTGAGTGCCATCTGACCTGAGAGGCCCATCTTCTGGCACTATAATCATTAATCATTTTATCTTGTCCATCCATGTGATTTACTTGGTAAAATACAGGAATGGTTTACCATTGCCTTCTCCAATGCAGTATGAATTGCCTTTGCCATTGTCACTAAAGTGATTGTCTACCTCAGGCATCTTCCTATATTGTTGCTGCCCAATATAGGTGCCTGCTTGCTTCAGTTGGGTAGCTGGGGTGATCTTCATGCCTTGGATGACCCTGCTGGGATGATATATGCTTGGCGTACATTCATGGCATCCTTCACTCACCCCTCCCAGGAACTCCCTCATGCCCACAATGTGGCAGTGTAGTAGGACTTGAGGGAGTGTACTTCAATTAAGCCCCCTAATTGAAAGAGGGAATAACTCACAGCATTTCTGCCCCTAAGGCCTGATGAAAAGCCAGGTTCTGATTCAATATGTACTACAAACATTTTCATTTAGGAATCTTTTTGGCTGCAGTTAGACCAGGACATTATATGGAGATACTTAAATATCTAACCTGGGTTTTACTTAAAGCACTTTTTTAGTGCCTGGGCTTGTAAAGAAAAAAAAATTCACCATTTGCATAGTTTTTTCCCCTAAATACTTACGTCGATTATAGATGATCATTTCTGTAAAATGACTTTTTGTTACTGCTACCATAGCACAACTCCAAACCTGCTAACGTAGTGTCCAAATATAATGTGTATGTGTGGAGTAGTGGTGGTGTTGGGAAGCTTGCCACAGGAAAGCTTTTGGAGGCTTTGCAGTTTGGCAAAAAGATTGATGAGGGGTTGATAGAGGTTTCTCAAATTATGAGGAAATTCCTTGAACACGAATGCATATTCAGGCTGTTATAAGAAGTGTCCACAAATTCAAGTCTGAAGAGGTCTAGAAACTGAGCCCACTACATTCTATTCTATGCTTGGGATTAGTTTAGAGTACTGCATGCTGGAATGTTAGCTTCATTATGACATAATTATGATTATTAGGTACCAAAATGTTTCATTTTCAGATTTTTTTTCAGTAACTAACAAGTTTAAATCATGCATATATATTTTTTTTAAATTCTATAGGTTTCTATAGGTTATAGGGTCTAGAAGTAGTGAAGCCTATTAATATTCCTATATTTTTCCATAAAAATGCATTCTAAACATGCATTTTTATAAAATGAATTAGCAACAGACTAAATGAAAGAATGCAACTCAAACTAGGGAAATTTCAAGGTTATTGTTAATATTTTTTCAGGTGACTATCTTTATGATTTTTAAATTTCAATTTAAGATGAAACCAATGAATTTCAGTATCTACATTACTGAAAATTATTTTGTTGGATTATAAAATACAAACATGACAGTAAAATAAAATACAGAGGGCACTAGTCTTATTTACATAGACCTGAGGCATTTTAAAGGGACGAGCACTTGTTTTTGGCTTTTCAAAGTCCATCCAAAGGTTTAGGACTTCTAGAAAACAAGTTGATTACCATAACACTGGTAATGGTAACTGATTAAAAATGCAGTAGCCACTGGGTATATCTGAGTGGCGGCAAAATCTGTAGCCTTTGGTCACAATACTTCTATGCCAGAGGTGTGTTGAGAAGCTGCCAGGACATTGCACATTTATTCATTACTATCCTTCAACTTCTGGTGTTGGAGAGCTGCAACATTTGGTAGAGTGATCCACTCACTACTCCTCTATATCACTGTATGAATGTCATCCTCTGCTCCAGATGACAAGGTGACTACTCATCCATCAGTTTGAATCACAAAGGACATCATGAAAAACTAGTTACTTATTTGTAACTGAAGTTCTTTAAATAGTCAGGTGATATTAGTTTTTCCTTATGGTTAAAGGAATCATAGGCTTCATTTCAGTGGGGATTAGGATTAATGGAATCTACACCTAGATATGCATGATATTCACAGAGGCCAGGGTTCTGCCAAAAATCTAAGTTTTACAAAGCTTTCAAGTTTGCACCAATGTAATACCTGTATATATGAATTCATGGATGATCCCATGAAGAATCTCAGTTACATGTAAGTAACTAGTCAGTGTCAGTCCTACATAAAACCTGGGAAGTTGATAAACACGCTAAAGAGGAAAAGTCAACCATCAGTACAACAGCTGGGACTGCTGGTGTGGAATATTGTCCTGCACACATTTTCTAATGTATTTATTTTTAAAAGATTTTTTGCATATTGCTTGGGACACAGGACACTCATATCTGTTTGCAGCAAAATCTGCTCAAGCTTTTCCAGTATTGCTTGAATTTTGTACAATCTTACAATAGTTTTCTGGCAGGACAGAAAATACACCGTTAACACATAACACATTTTAGGCAAAATCACATGGAACTCTTGTTTCAATACTACTGAAGTTTTTTGCTATCTGATAGTAATTTTAGGACTATGCTTACCTGTTAGACTACTAGGATATGGACATGGCACTGAGGAAAATGAGGAAGATGCTCCTCCAAAAGGTGTCATACCAGATGACCCACCAAAAGGAGTCATGGAATGGCTATTAAAATTCACCGATGATCCTTTTACTGTAGGTGACTGATTAGTTTGGGTTGAATCAGATCCATAATGGCTGACAGGGGAAGTAATGGTCTCTGGAGTATTCTCAGTTCTATATTTCATGGTAGGACCTTTATCCTCCTTACTCTTAATGCACCCCATGGTCTTTTCTGTAGAAAAAACAAAAGATAGTATTGTATGTCAATATTTCATTATTGCTGAAACTGTTCACTAAATATTGAGAATAATTTGGAGATCCGTGTTTTAGACAGAGACATGTTTACTTTCTAAAACAAAATAGATTTTAAAGACTTCTGTCTACAATTAGCTGTATTCAATTGATTTCATAATTATGTACTTTATTACACCCAAAGGCCAGAAACATAAAATGCTACTAAAGATAATAAAATAAAACAAAACATTGTATAACATCAAGGTGGTCAGTAAATAAACTGAGATATAGCTTAAGAAAGACATTGCATTAGTTGGTGCCTCATTTTCACTACTACTGCACAGTATCTTGCTACAATCTAAGTTGCAGAGGATTTGAAATCTGAAAGAAGTTAATGTAAAAGTTGTCTATTCTTCCAGTATACTGAGGAAGCAGAGTAAGATAAGTGTTACAGATGTGAATAAAATAACACATGTTGGGTTCTGCATGGACCAACAAGTTTCTTGTAAGAGATCTTAGAATATCTTCCCTGTTATAATGTTAAAGGCCAAATATTATCCTAGCCCAGTGAACAAGATTTCCTTAATTTGGGAAATAAAAATAAGGAGAGAGAGCTGGATGATTCCCAAAGAAGCTTTGCCACTCAAGTCCTGCTCCTCTATGCCAAGTGTTTATTTCCATATTATTTAATCTTTGCAGAAATGTGTATTTGGCATGGTCATATCCTAAGGATCTTATAAACCCTGCTTATAATCCATATGTCATTCATTTTTATTCTATAACATTATTCCAGCTTGATGGAAAGTCATCACCCATAATTTCAGGAAGTAAACCTGATGGGAAGAACTGAAGCTGTAGTCAGTAGTTTAACATCAGCCTCCATACCTTGCTTTCAATTTTAGGCATTCCTGTTTCTAAACTGAGAAGAGCATTAGCTGCCCCTCTGGGTGCAGAGTATAAGAAATTTGGTCTGGACCACTTCAAAAACATTATTTCCAACATAGAGACTCACCTGGACTCTGCACAATACTTGGGCCAAGGTTTTAGTTTAAAAAACAAATCAAGGCAACCAATACTAGTTGGCTTCTTCTAAGTTAAAAAAAAATGCTTGATGGCTATTGAAGATGTTGATTATGATGGGCCCTCCAGATTCCCTTGGGACAGAAAACACTCCCAAGAATTTAAAGGTATGAACCTGTGTAATTGGATTCCTTTCTATATTCCATCTTTGTACTTTGGCCTTTCTGACAAAGTCCATAACTTTAGATTTTTGGAAGTTAAGTACAAGTCTATTCTGTTTGCAGTACTGAACTATAAAAATATTACCTATAGAACTCATTGTGTATAGCAGTATTGAGGTCTTGTGGCCGTTAATTTGTGGGGCATGACAATCTGAATTGTTCACTGATTTGATCAAAGAATAAATAAACAAATTAAATAGGGCAGGAACCAGAATACTTCCCTGCTGCACACCTCTCTGTATATTGCATCAGAAAGTAGCTTTGGCTGTTATATCTTACTATCAAGGAAGAACTGGCATACAAATTCTGAATCAAATAAAGAATATTCATGCTGGTACTTCTGAGCTTATCCCACAGAATCTTTCTAGTTATTAAGTCAAAGCCAAATTTAAAGTCAAAGAATCACTTTATAAAGGTGATTTAAATTGTATACATACTTCCAAACAAGGTAGCAAATACCAAAAATATATTAATAACTAATATATTTGATACTAATACCTAATACCAAAATATAATCTACAGTTTATCTCTAAAGCCAGGCTTGTTCATCCCCTAAAATATGTTCTGATTCCAACCAGACCCACAGGTTTGTTACTTAGATGCATTGGCTATAATTTACTTACAACACTTAATAGAAGCATAGGTCTATAATTAGCTGGGTCTTTCTTACTGTCTTTCTTGTAGATATGGACTATTATTGCTACCCAATCACTGCAGACTGTGGGTATCTGTTTGATCATTACATGTAAACAGAGATGCTAACAAGGCTGCTCACCAGCTGCAGTTTAGTTTCATCACTTCAGGCAAGACAGGATCACTACCTGGGGTTCTTTCTAGTCTTAAATGATTTTATAATTTTGACCACTTCTGCTAAGGTAACTGGAGGCCAGCTATCCAGGGTGCTAAAATCAAATTATGCACCATCACTATTGTAACTGGGGTCAGTATGCAAAGGTGTATAATGTGTTTCCCATGTTTTGAAAGTAACCTGTTTGGCTGGGCTCTCCAGCCCTTTGACAGTAATTCAGGAAAAGAGAGAGGTGTTCTTTTGCCTAATGGAAAAATAATGACGGATTTCATAATTTTAAAAATTGAGATTTTAGGGTCTAAAACTACTAAAAGCCCTTCAGCCTCAACTTAAAAATGATAATGGCTATTTTTTTGAAGCTCTCATCACTTGATAGATCTGAAAAGTACCATCATAGATTGTGATATATTTCATAGCCCTTTTTAAATTTAATGTCGAGAATAATATAAATTCATACATTCATTTTAATCAATTAAAATTAGACTATTTTCAGTAACTTCATTTTTTTTCTTTTTGCTCCCCAAACAACACTACGTGGTTTGACAATGCCACATGCCAATTAGACTAATGCTGAAATTGACATGCCTGATGGTAACTAAGCTGAGCGTACCTTCAGGTATTGAAAGTTCTGTTTCTATTAGATACGCTGAATAAGAACATAGTCATATATGGATAGTGGTATTAAATAATGTGTATAGTGCAATCGCTCACAATTTAATTAGCATTTGTGAAGTACGCTCTTCCAATTCAATAGTTTTTTTTCAATGGGGAAAATGTTACATATATGAAGATTTTAAAAAATCAGCCTGTAGGAGAACTGATAAAACACAAAACCTAAAAGATTCCTATAAAGTATCTTTATGGATTATAGCCAACATGTACACTGACATCCAACCAATAGATAATCAGGTCAATTAAACTTAGATTAAGTTTTTTTAAGACACATGAAATTTTAAAAAGCATTGTATTTCCAAGAAAATAGCCTAGAAGACTTATCTTTATCTAGCAGCTAGCAGTAAAAACTACATTAGTAACTACATTAGTAAAGCACTAATGTAGATTTTTTTCACTGCTTGAAAAACAAATACAGTGGTACCTCGGGATACGAACGCCTCTACTAACGAAC